AAAATTAAGCTGGTATTAATTTGAGACTACAAACATTAATTTAGAATTATAGGAAATAATCTGAAAACAATAGAATTACGATAAACTATCGGAATAACTGGAACTTTGATGGATTTTTTTTTAATTACTGAAATTATTTATAAATTACGTTAATTTCTTTTGAAATTACTGGAATCCTTTTTAGAATTCTCGGAGATAATTCCTGTTGAAATTACGTTAAATTTCTTGGGATTATCGAATTTAACTTAAAATTACGAAAATTATTTAGTAATTGGAAAAATTAAGTTGAAATTACGGAAATTAAGCAGGAATTACAAGAATTTCGAATTATAAGAATTAATCTGAAAACAATACGATTACGATGAGTTATCGTAATTACTAGAATTTTGGTAAATTTTTTTTGGAATTCTCTTTTGAATTATCAAAAAAAAATCTTTTAAAAATTACATTAATTTCTTAGAATTAATGTGAATTTACAAACATTAAATTTGTATTACTGAAATTAATTTGAAAACAATAGATTATTGGAATTACTAAAATTTCGGTAGATTTTTTTGAAATTATTACGTGAAACTTTTGCAATTACAAAATAATTTCTTTTAAAAATTACTTACCCCAAATTTCTTCGAGAATTACAAAAATGTATTTAAAATTACAAGAATTAATATGAAAACAATAGAATTACGATGAATTACTGGAATTTCGGTAGAATTGTAACAAAAAACATTTTTGAAAAAATACAAATTGTTTGGACGACGCTAACTAGATTATTTTTTTCGGGAGTGTGTAATGGATTTTGTCACGCATTATCATTTGGCCTAGACGAGAAATAGCGTCTTGGTATTCCGTAGCCCCCGCTGTCATTGACCCCAAAGGCCCTCGACAACTTCCAGCTGAAAAAAATTATTGAAAAATGGTAAAAATTGTTAAATTTTGTACCGCAATAAGAAGTCATGTCATCGCCGCCTCGTGATCGCCCTTCACTCTTACCCCCTCCAACACGATTACTGATAACAGCAGGGCGATAAGCGATTGACCGTTGATTGGGTCGGCAAGGGTCACCAGGGAGGCGCACGGGGGCAGGACACGGGGGGATCCCCGAGACCCCCGCCGCCCGCAACAAGTCGTCGTAAGGAGCATCAGGGTATTCCTCTAAAAAACACAAAATTTCTAATCTAAAATCAAAAAAAGTCGGGAGACTGTTAACTCTGGAATTATTAAAATAATCTTTCTTTGGAATTTCTGATATTCTTTTTGAAATTACCGGAGGAAAATTATGTAAACATAGGATGACAGGAATTATAAGAATTACTTTGAAATTGCAAAAATTAAGTTGAAATCATCGAAATCGAGCTGGAATTAAGTTGAAATCACAAGAATTAATTTGAAATTACAACAATTAATCTGAAAATAATTGAATTACGGTGGATTAACAAACTTTCTTTTTTTTTTGAATTACTAGAATTATTCGTAAATTATTAGAATTATTGGAATTCTTTTCGGAATTAGCGGCGATTTCTTTTAAAAATTAAGTTGAATTTCTTAGAACTATTGGAATTAATTTGGAATTTCAGGAATTATTTAAAAATTTCAAAAATTAAATTAAAATTACAAAAATTAAGCAGTAATTAAATTAGAATTGCAGGAATTAATTGAGAATTATAGAAATTAGTTTAAAAACAATAAAATTACTGAAATTGTTTGTGAATTACTGGAATTCTTTTCGGAATTAACGGAGATTTCTTTTAAAAATTAGGTTGAATTTCTTAGAACTGATGAAATTAATTTGGAATTAGAGGAATTATTTAAAAATTTCAAAAATTAAATTGA